TAATAATAATAATAATAATAATAATAATAATAATAATAATAATAATGTTATGAAATCTTTTGTTGATTTCCTCTTGAATGGCAGAACACATGCTCCTAAAATTAGAAGTTTTGTAATTTTGTGACGCTTCTTGATTCATTTCCTCTTTACTAAACCATTTCCTTATGACTAAACCCGTGCGTCCAGATGGATGAGATTAATGTCTTTTTATAGCATCACCACAACTGGGAGTTCATAACGGACAATGATTCGGCATTTTTTAGGTACAAGGATTAACTATTGACACTGATTTTGGTAACTCGATGCTTGTGACGTCAGCGTCTTGAGCAGCGTGTTGGTTGGACGGAAAAACCCAGCGAGCAGGAGGGGATTATAAAGCCGCTCTGCTCGGAGCTCAGCCTTCAAACCAACCCTGAGGAGCTCCGCTGCACACCGTGTTCAACAGGAGAAATACGACAAAAGCTGAATAAGGTGAGTAATATATTCTCTTGATCCGTTTGCCTTCAATGCATGTTAAAAAAAGTACACGCAGCAGATTACAGGTTTAAACCAGATAGTTAGTTAGTTTTTTTTTTAACAGCAAACTGAATTAAAAACGATTAATGTCTAACTCTGTGGCTTCCTAATAGTAGCTTAAAAATATCACATAAAATGTCAGAGAGTTAATATTTGTGCTAAAACTACTTATTTAGTGTAATCAGTGATCAGATAAAAAACACATTAGTAGACATTTATCAACAAATCGATTATAGGAATAATTTTTTTCTAAGTCCAATAAGTCCCGTGATAGGTAATTTCCAAACCTACATAAAAGAACCACAGACAACGTATATGAATTTTATGGTCGAACTTTTGCAAAAGGAGAAGACTCAGCAAATTGCTCCTCCAGGCCGTTCACAGAGCGTTCTGCCCTCTCTTTGCTAGAGCAGGCCTTTTATTTTGGGAAAACGATAGTGAGAAAAGATAAACAGCAAAAACAGATGGCAAGCTCTATCTACACACACAGGTCATCTAGCCCTTTCCCTTGAGAGCGATGTCTCCCAAGGGTGGAGGGAACAATCAGTTCCAAAAGTATTCAACACAGCAAAAAGTCTTTACACAGACAAGAAAATCACGTCAATGCTGATTAATAAACTAAAGTAATAATAAAAATGATAACACAGAAAACCCCCAACATCCAGTTTCTATTGACCTAATACTGCCTGCCTACATGTGACTGATTGTTCAGGTTAGTATTTGAAAATGCAACATAATTCCGTTAACACCCTCTACTGACATGTACTACAAAGGAACTGTAGAAATATATATTTTTCTATTTTAAATCCAACCTACTTCACCTCTGATTTGCTTGTATTTTATTGGTCGCTCTTTCATGATCTGTTGATATCCAACAGATCATGAAAGAGCGACCAATAAAATAGAGTTTATATTAGATGCACTTATAAAGAGACAGAGTAATGTGTTCCTTTGATTTGATTGGGTATTTTTCTAGGCACTGTGAGGCTGACAGTGTGATGGGATGGCCGGAAGAATTGCGTAAGAGCACAGAAATTAAAAGTGACTTTCCCATTAGATGGTGATTGGGTTACAAAACCTAAAAGCAGGAAGGGCATCCTGCATGGTTCTCCTCTGCATTTTTTATGAAGGGAGTCTGTCACTAAACCTGCTCCTAAGATTATCTGTTGTATGTTTTTTTTTTTTTTTCCTTGATACCTGCACACCACAGTGCTACAGCAAAAAAGATGGTGCATCTCACAGGCAGGTAGTAACATACAACAAATAACCTGAGTCGAGCCGGCTCAGATCCTTCTTGTACATGGCATCCACCTTGGCTGACCAGTCTAGCTGATTCTTCAATTATACTCCTAAATATTTGTAAGATTGATTAACATTGGAGAGGGTGGGGAATTGTTCCTTCTGAAATCTATCTCCAGAGAGAGAGATCTCACCTGGCTCTGTAAATGTTTTATGTAAACATGCAACAGGTGCCAAGTAGCTATCACCAGTCTGACTATACTGCCAATGGGGAAACAGAAATTCAAACCTCACCATGAATGATTAAGAACCAACTTGGCACCTTAAAGAGTCTCCTTCTGACTGAACATGTCTTTGTGCATTTCTTAGCAATCATGGTGAAGCGTGTTGCAGTTATTCTGTCCGGCTGTGGCGTCTATGACGGCACAGAGATCCACGAGGCCTCAGCCGTCCTGGTCCATCTGAGTCGCGCTGGAGCAAAAGTAAGGACAAGAAAGGGCAAAAAAATATTTCTAAATTGTTAATTTTCTGAAAACAACAACTTTATTAAAAATAATAGCATTTTGGAAAGGTTAAAATTTTCAAAATGTTTGGTCTCAGGTGCAGATGTTTGCCCCAGACGGAGATCAGATGCACGTTGTAAATCACTGCGTGGGGAAACCTACTGAGGAGAAGAGGAACATCCTGCAGGAAAGCGCTCGTATCGCTAGGGGCGACGTGACAGACCTGGCCAAGCTGGACGTCTCAGCGTTTGATGCTGCCATCATTCCAGGTGAGTTCATCTTGTATAAACTCAGAGGAACCTGTGTGAAGCTCCTCTGTTTAATGTTTCAATGTAGGTTTCTGAACAAACCCCTATTTTCTCTATCAGGAGGGTTTGGTGTGGCTAAGAACCTGAGTGACTGGGCTGTAAAGAACAAGAGCTGCACCGTCCAGCCACATCTGGAGAAGATCATCAAGGATTTCCACAAAGCAGGAAAGCCTCTGGGCATGTGCTGCATTTCGCCTGTCCTGGCTGCAAAGCTGCTGCCTGGCTGTGAGCTCACCGTGGGGCAGGACAAAGAGTGTGAAAAGTATGTAAATCTCTGTTCACGTTAGGAAAATGTTAGTTTAATGGATTTTGTGTGATCATTCACTTGGTTTTTATCTTCAGGTGGCCGTTTGCTGGGACAGCTGGAGCTTTGAAGGACATGGGCTGCAAACACGTGAACAAAGACGTGGATGAAGCTCACGTTGATGTCAAGAACAAGCTGGTCACCACCTCTGCCTTCATGTGCAACGCTCCCTTTCACCAAGTGTTTGATGGAATCGGCGTCATGGTTCAAGAAACACTGAAACTTGCCTAAGAAGATTGTTACATGTAATCAGTTCTATTTATTTTCACCAGGAAATCATGAGAGATGCTGCAATATTTAATCAGAAACTCTAATTAAACAAATATCAGGGTGAAATTTTAAATAAAGCATTTTGTGGAACTTACAGCTTTGGACATAATTTTCTTCATACATACAATGACGCAACAAATTTTGTATGAGACAGCAACCTTTCATTGCTCTACAATGTGTGAAGTGATTATTCAGATAATTTAGCTTTTTATAATAAATTTTGTTTTATTTTTTGCATATATGAAAATAGAAAAAAGCTTAGTTAGATAGCTTTGTTAATTAATGTTTGAGTGTCACTGCAAAGCTTAGAGACTTGTTAAACCCTCCACTAGTTTTTCTTAAAGTTAATGATTTGTGTTTAAAGAAGATGCAGTTAATATTAAAGATTTTTCTTTTTGCAAAATCATTGGTGCCAGACCTATTGAGATCCCTATAAATGAATAGTTGTGGAAACATTTATTTATATTACATTGCAGCTTACTTTCTCAGTGTCTAGGATCTTTAAATCAATAATCCATGACTTCCTGTTCTAGTCAGGTAGATATCTTCCACCTAGACTTACAGTCATTGGATTAGCACCAATTGAAAAGTTTAAAAAAGCTGGAAATATGACACAAGACTGGACAAATTGATATTGCCACTACATGGAAGGTGAGGAAAGTAAAAAGTTTCAGAGTGCCTTTTAGATTCATCAGGTCCAAACAACCATTAGGTGACATCTGGTGGGTCTGTCATGAAATAAAAGATGAATCTGGAAAACCTCATGCCCAAAATAAGCCCTTCTCAAAAAAAAAAAAAAAAAAAGCTGAGACTTGAGACTCAACAACAACAGTAATTCAAAGCATATGGTCAAACTGACCAAGAATTGAGTCAACTAACACACATACGTGTTCTTTCCTTACCATCTCAGTACTCAGCAGGTGTGTGGCACTGCACATCTTTGAGACATCTTTTTTAAAAAAAATTTTTTAAAGGGGAATTAGCTATTTTCCAAGTTGTAGTCACATGCAAAATCTTTGAAAATCTGCATTGTCATAAACATTTCCAAATTTTACCATGGATGCTTTTACAGATACTGGGGCATGAGCAGTTAGACACGAGGTGATTCTAGACCACCTTCCCTTTTCAATCTTTGCAAAAAAAAAAAAAAGCCCTTTTTCAAAATATTCTTACAGTGTATTGAGTGCGTTCCAAAGCATTTCTGAATTTTAAAGCCTGCTGCTACTAAATATTTTTAATAAAGTCCTGTTCAGTGAAAGTGAAGCATGTAAATTAAATTGTATTTCTATGTGTAGAAACTTGGTACCATGATCAGATTTAACATGTAAATAATATAATATATCACAATATGAACATGTAGAAGTGTAGATTATTCGTCTTCTGTCTGGCCATATCCTGTGCTGTTGGTTTCATTTTGATGCTACCTGGAGATTTTGTTCTCAAATATGTATTTTTTCAACTTCCTTTGTCTTCAAAGGTTGAGTTGTGTAAATTTACTGATTTTTAAACCACATGCAAATGTGAAGGAACAAAAATGTGATTTAAGAAAAGAAAATGGGATTTTCAACCTTGTATTTTTGTTCTTTTAATAATATTTAAACAGGCATTAGCAGCTTAAAAGAATAAGTTAACCAGACAATGGTTTAATTTAGAGTCAGATGATTTATTATAGTTCATATACATAAATAGACATTTGATTTATCAAGCGAGATGTTAAAGCAGTTGTTGTGAAGTCTTCATTAATCCTTCATGTGCTTTTGTTGGAGAAATGGTGGAACTGGTCCACCCCACAGACTAACTTTGTTGCATGAAATTTCCTGGGACGATCAGGATCCTAAAATTAAAACAGACAAAAAGAAAGTTATTAGAAATGAAAGGTAAGTTTTCTAAAAGAACCTCTGGCTAAGAAAATACGATTATCTCACCTCAGTGGGGTAGGCACAGGTGGGGACATAACGGATCACAAATCCACAGCGCCTTCTTTGGGAAGTGTTGGCATCACTTGCATGGACAAGAAGTCCATCATGAATCTGGAAAAAAAAAAAAAGATATATTTGATTGAGATAAACTTGTCTTTAGAGCATTTTATAGCTGCAAGGTTTTATCACAAAAAAACAAATAAACCTACCGACATCTGTCCGGCTTTCAGAGGACAGAGCACAGCTTCATCCACCTGCACCAGCTCCTCTGGGATCTCCTGGTTGACTGACAGTAGGTTTCCGGGGCGGGTTGCTTGGCGATGGGGCAACATGCCAGAGCAGTGACTTCCTGTAAGGGACTGACGTCAAATACGTGGAGCATACAGCTGGCCTGGACTGCCAGTGATAACTTAGAAAATGCAAATAACTAACAAATTTAGCTTACCTGGGATGACCTGAAGGACTCCGTTTTCTTTTTGTGAATCATCAAGAGCAAGCCACACAGACAGAACAGGTCCACCGGCAATACCCCAGTACCTGTGAACACCGCACTCTTTAATCATGCAACACAAAAAATAAACTTTATTTTCCTCTGGTAAGTTATATTCACCTCATGTCCTGGTGCCAGGCCACATAGGGGAGCTCGTCGTCTCCATCAGGTTTGCTTTGATCTGTTTTGCTCTCCTGGAGTTTGGCGGGTTTGATTGTCGGGTATTTACAGATAAATCGAGAGTCCAGCAGAATGACGTCAGGTCCCAGGATGGCTTGGATCACTTGCAGGATGCGGGGATGCTTGGTCAGGCTCATCACCCAGGGGTACTGAAGATGAACGTTGTGGAGGCTGTACTGTGTGTACGCTGTACCTGTTTGAAACATGAAAATACACGGTTAGAAAAAACAAAAAAACAAAATCGGATTCATCTGCTGAAACAAAGTGTTGGATATGTCAACAGTTTTCTCAGAGTTTCTTTCGTCAAAGGAGAAGAACATTAAAATGATTGCTGGTGTGCAAAGTTAAGCCTCCTAAATCTACAGAAAGTGTTTATTATGTAAGAAAATAAATGTGATGTGAATGAAAAAACAACATGATTAAACTAACAGAGGAGAACAAACTGGGTCTGAGCTGGGTGTGTCCAAGTATTACTGTAGTTATTTAATATTTGTATATGAATAGATCAGCTGTTTATTGAAACATTTGTTTAATTTAATCACTCACTCATCACACTTGGTGAATGTAGCATGCGGTATTTGCTGGTGTTTTTATCTTGATATTATTAAATTTCCTTACTGTGTAATTTTCAAGTAAAAAAAAAATGAAACTTTTCTTCCGTAGCACTGAACAAACATACACATTTTCCTGTGATCAGTTTGTTACATTTCTGTTGCAACACCACAAGCATCTGAAATAACAGAATAGAAGGATGTTCCAAAATGGTTAGCACATTCATCCCAAACAGATCATCTGATTCGATGGATGAATCATTCTTCAGAGAAAAAGAGGAGTGATTTTCAAACAGTCAAGTGAACTCTGACCTGAAATCATACAAAGCTGCCAGAATGGCTCAGTCAGTAGCCAGTAATGGCTTTTCTACTAAATAATAAATAAATGTTATGTTCTCTATGCTGTTACAATTTTTTTCCATATTTAATATATGAACTTATTGTTTTTGGTTTCTTTGTACATGTGAATTACGAGGCACCTGTTGTGAAATTCATATCTATACATCCCATTACAGCTGCTTTTACTGAAAAAAGTGTTGCTGTGCTTCTACAGAAATAAACCAGTGAAGCAGTAGCACACTGCTTCACTGTGTGCTACTGTTTGGTTTAGTTGAAACTATATTAGACAGTTTAGTTTCAACTGTTTCGTCAGTTTCATTTGATCTCAGTTCTCTATATCTTGCTCAATCTCTGAATTTTTCGTCTAATTCCCCCTCCCCCTGTTTGTTGCCTACCAAATTCCTCCTCCAGCTTAGCGAAGGCGTCTCTGGTCTCCCTCAGCTCTGTCTCGTCCAGCACGGCCAGCGGTGACAGGAAGCCCTCCTCATTGTAACGCTCCTGTAGTTCAGCTGGAGACGCGGTCATCGTTGCGTTTCCCTGCCGATGTCTCTGGCTTTCTGCTTCCAAGGTTGGTGAGATGTCGACTGAAGGCGAAATTTAAAAGTTGAAAAGAGCTTAAGTTTAATCAACGCCGTTAAAGGTGAGCCTTCACACTGACCTGGCTTTAGTTATTTGCTGGTTATAAAGAACATACACTTCAAAATAAGCACACCGCAGCACTTGTGCTCAGTTTATAACTTGTTACACGCTTGAATCAAGTTAATTGGACTTGTAAATATAAGAAACTCTATTTCCGTGTGCACTAAAAACAACTCTGAGACTGCAGAGACGTAAAACTCTCCAAAAATCTTTCTGTTGTCCAATTCCTGCAAAAAAGCTGAACAAAACACTCCTGATTTACAAATACTGATGGAACATGGTCAAATGGGGTAATATTTTTCTTTTTGTTTAGGTAGAATATTATTCTCCAAAGTCTAAGCTTTAACTACAGCAGAAGGTGTCTTTTCATACCTGTTGTCTGCTCAGTCCCCCAGTAAGTCTGGATTCTGTCTGGCTCTTGTCTGTCAGTCATTATATACCCTTCAGCTTTGGAAACTCCTACCATTGTGACATCATTTTAAAATTCATAAACTTTACTCAAAAGACCTACGTCGTCATATTACATGGAAACCACCATCCCTGAAAAGTACAAGACAGTGACCTCATTCAGGTGTGTGGAGGCTATTTAAAAACATTTCTTTGTTTGATCTACATGCCTTTTGTGTTGTGTTATCTCTGACTGTTTACGTTTTGCTCTAGTAATGGAGAATGCATTGTGATTGATGCAGTTTCTGTTGAAATCTGAAACAATAGAGGTTATTCTGTTAAAACCTGCTCGATTCATCTTCCCTCACCACACCCTCATAGCAAACTATTTATTTTCATGTAGAGTGAAAGAACAATTAGTGACTAATGAACCCACGAAAAAGTATAAAGATGTTTCATTATGAAACTGAGGAAAGAACCATCACGAAATGAAAGCAGAAGAATGTGTGATCTGGTGACTGCTGGAAATCTGGTGACATGTCACTGTTTCAATGATCAAAATAAAATGGATTGATTGGTGAGGGACAATGA